CACCTACACACAAAACCGATAATAGAATTGGGACAAAGAATAAAATAAAATAAATAAAATAGAAAATAAAAGAAATAACACTAAACGAATAAAAATTAAATAAAACTATACAAGTAAATAAAATCAAATAAAATAACAAAATAAATTTAAAACTAATAAACACTATGAAAGTAACAAAGAAATGGAACGAAATAAAATAAATCGAAAGGAAATAAAAAACGAAAATAAACTAGAAACTAATTAAATAAAGAAATTGAATTAAAACATACTAAAACTAATAAATAAACTAGAAACTTTATTAAAAATAAAACAAGAGAATAAAAGGGAAAATAAACACGAAAATGACTGTAAAACTACTCCCTAAGAGTGACATAAATGTCACTCATCAAATTCCCCCAATCTAAACCTTTGCTCGTCCTCGAGCAAAGCTAAGGCAAAAGAGAACAAGATGGATTTATTGAAAGCAAAAGAAACAAAATAGAAAGAAAGAGAAAGAATGTACACTAACTCACTGCCGTAGGAATCACAGATGCATTTAGCGTATGCATCAAGCCCTTTAAACCCCCATGTCGCCAAAGAGGACGAGTAAGCTCTCGTGAGGGTTTCCTAAGAGGTTTAACCCACAACTCTTGGCAACACATAACATTCAAGGCAAAGGTGAAATCAAGAAAACTCGAGTTTTGATATTTCAAACCAAACACAAACAACAGGCTAAATGCACAAGAATACAATACTTTCTAGACATCAAAGGTAGCCAAGCAAAAGATTAGCTAAGGTTGGTACACATAAAGCATGCAAAGGGTAGAGAACTTAGAGGGACTTACATTCCTCCTTATCTCCAACCAAACTTCCGCGTCCTCTCTAGTTTTGCATCCACTTTTAAGGTGATATCTCGAGATTCCTCGAAGGAACCGGAAGAAATAATCAATGAAAAACATTTAGGCTACCCGACATCTTGGCATTGATAGCTCGCTCAATAGGCTTGGCTTGATTACCCTCCACCGGTAGTAACTAAACCTCACTAAGGTAAAAAGGTCTTAAAAGGGTTGAAACGTTTAGGCTAGGGTAAAGGGCGTGGAAATAAATTTGAAAATTGGTGGTAAACTTAGAAGTGAAGCAAGGTTGATCATTCCTCAATTCAAACTACCAACTTTCAAATCAAAAATTCTAGCAACTCCTCCCCCAAGCTTATTCTTTTTCAACCAAACAACAAATATTTTTGTATTTTCTTAATTTTTTTTTCTTTTTCTTTTTCTTTTCATTTCTTTTTATTCTTTGCTCTCGCCTCTTTTAACTTTGAGCGGCTTTTTCTTTCATTTCTTTTATTTTCTTCTCATTTGCTCAAACCATTCAACACAACAAAGATAATCACAAGTACGAAAATTTGAGTTTTGCACTTCTTTTTCATTCTTTTTCCCACTTTCATTAACCAAAAATACAAATCAAGCCCAAGAATGCTTCACAAAAACTAATAAAGGTGAAAATAAAGCAAAGGTCCATTGGTTTGTAATGTGGTTATGCCAAAGAAGGGAAAATGGCTCAAATTGGGTTACTAAATGAGCAAATGCAAAAGAAAAATAAAAGAATGGAAAATAATAAAATAAAACAAAAATCCTAATTGCCTTCGTCTTCCCCTAGGTTTGTTCGGTCTCTGTCTTGGGTAGATTAAGCCAAATTCTCGATATAAGCTAGCAATGCCAAGGATCCAAACGCCACACATGCAAGAAATGTAAAAGGCTAGAACAATATAGATACATCCTCACAAAAATGACGGTAGTGGAATAGTAAAAATCACCTTTAAAGCTTCAACTAGCTAGAGAGCGACAACCATCTTACCACAAACCAAGTGAGCTAAGGTCTCATAGCCCTTAAGTTCTACTACCTTGGAAATGTTATATGTGTGAACCAACCTCGACATTTAAGTGCATGAAAACCTCTAACAACTAGCAAAGAGGGTATTCTAGGTGCTAAAGCCCAATTATGTCCAAGTTTAAAACAAAACATTTTGAAACTTTGCCTTGAATGCCATTAAAAGACACTATACACACAAATATTCACAAAAAAAAAAAAAAAAAACTCATGAATGCATATACAACTGTGCAAGATGAAATCATGATCAATTAAGACTACAAATACCAAAAGCCAACTCAATAAGGCGCTCACGGCCATCCAAACATAGAAAACCAATCTCAATAATAGACTTTGGCAAGTATGGGAGAAATAAATCAAGCAATCATGAGACTATGGATTAAGAAACCACCAAGAGATATAGATAACCCCCCAAGCTAGCAAATAGCTACTCCCCAAGCTAGAATGGAGCATTGTCCTCAATGCTCAAAATAAAGGCACAAAGGGGGGGAGGAAGGGGAAGAAAGAAACCATATCCACACAACAAATCATATTCATTCAATCCAAATGCATATAAGAAAGCAAATCCAAGATGAGGGAAGAAGGAAAGAGTAAACAAAATGTGAGGTGGGTGTTGAAACCCGCAATTGAGCACATTGTCCACAATTTCATCTAATTCCTCGTCTTTGTTGCTTTTCCAAATGCAAGCAATCATTGGTGTGCTTCTTCTCAAGGAGCTCAATCCAAAATCCTTGCACATGAGTATATGCATCGAGTACCTATACACATAGACAAGAGAGTAAACAAAAATGAGTAGCATAAAAGAAAGAAAAAGAAAGCAATAAAACACAGATTACTTCCCAAGAAAGGCTTGCTTAACGTCCAAGCATGACCAATCTAGTAAATAACCCGACAAAGAACGCAAAAGCTTGTCATATGCACCGGCAAACATATCAAGAAATAGAGCATACGCGATGCTCATATGACAAACAAACATAAAGTACAAGGAGACTTTATGCTTGAGAGAAAAGAGAAAAGAAAAAGTAAAAGAATCAAAAGAAAAATCAGGAAAATAAGAAGAAAAAAAAAGTAGAAGAATAAAAAGAAAAATAGGGAGGCAAACTCTCCTCACAAAAATCTTTTTGGTTGGCATTGTAACTCTTTTCCTCATCAACAACGAAATAGTTGGGGTCTTCGGAAGCATGGATAGGAAGAGGACCCCTAAGAAGTTCTTTGAGAAAAGAAGGGAGGAACATAGGATAGTAGGAGATATGGTTAAATCTTTGGGAGAAAGGTGTATGAGAAAGGGAAAAAAGGGTAGCTAATCCCTCATCGCAAGATCTCACATCACTAATGAGGGAATGAAAATCAATCATGGAATCCTCAAATGAAGAACCCTCACATTCTACATCTCCCTCAAGCTCAAAAACTCCAAGCGATTCAACCTCAACCTCCTCTTCACAACCTTGAACAACATCTCCCTTAAATTTCTCAAGGCCTACCATCTCAAAATCAAGAGTGAATGGGGGCAAATTTCTCTCAAACTCATCTCTTTCTAATGAAGCCTTATCCATGAACTAACTCATAAGGTTATGGGCTACCGTTTGAAACTCGAGAAATAATTGGGCCATAATATCAAATGAGTCCAAATCATCATGGATAGACGAGTCAAAAGCCTGCTCATTGGAATCATCTAGGGGACTATGGGGAACACCTTTAGAATTCATGCAAAAATCGGATGCAATATGAGAAAGAACATACACTTCATCATCATTAGAATGTACCTCATTACATTGAGCTATAGAGGGAGGGGAGTTGAAATCATGCATTACATAGTCACTACGGGGAGCATCAAGCACATCATGGGAATTCATATTAGACAAATCATGACAATTAGCATCAATATTTAAAGCATGAGAATCCCGAACATAAGTCTCATGATTAGCCCTCTCCCAATCATAATTATCCCTAGCTAACCATCAATAGAAATCCCAAGCTTCATCCGAAGACATGTCTTGAAATTTACCATTTAACATATTATCAACTACTCCTCTAAAATTCTCATTTAACCCAAATTGATGATTTCACAATAATCACCCTTGGTTAAACCTTTAACACCATCTAGGAAATCCTCAAGTCTATTGAAATACACCCAAAACGGTTCCTTATCAAATTGAGGAATAGAAATATAAGCCATTTTTTCAAATAAAGCAACACAAATAAAAACCAACAAATCAAAAGAAAATTATAAACAACGGACTAGTCTCAATAAGATAACACAATGGTAATGGAAGCGGTTCCCCGGCAACGGCGGCAATTTGACAAGGGAATAAACGCGTCGTCAATTGTCTATCTCTAGATCAAATACAATTAATACAACCTAAACAAACCTAATACGAGTATAAGGCAAGCATAGGGGTCGAACCACAGAGAACGGATAAACACCACCAAATGTTATCGGCAATTAAGCTAGTCCGGAATAAGAGATAAATAAACTAAAGTCTAAAGATGCTAAAACAAGAAATAAAACATTAAGGGAAATAGTTTAGGTATAACATTCACTTGAACATAAACAAAGGCATAGAAATTGAATTAATTATGAACTAAACATGCATGAATATCGAAGTAAAGGATTCAATCTAGCCGCCTTCCGGGGTCAATTGGCTTCTCCTAACATAGCCTCTATGTTTCCACATTAGAACCATATACTAGGAGGTAATATTAAATAACAATCAATAGTAATGAACCTTAACTAAGTCAACTTTCGTTCCTTGTTAGCAAAGATTCACCTTTAATCAACCAACAATGTGCACTTGCAAGAAGATTAAAGAATATCAAGCATATAAAGACTTTAATCACAAATAAATCAATTCTAAACCGTAGAACATGCTCAAGATCCAACTACACTACAACCATCCCCTTAATGGGGGAATTACTCACTAATCATGCTAATAACAAGATTAATTAACAAATAATCAAGAATAAACATGATTAACAAGCAATACCAACAACTAAAATAACAAAATAAATCAAATAAAAAAAATAGAGGAGAGAGTTAGAGATTCTCATTGATTGAATGTGAAAATCTACAAGCAAGATGATCAATCTTTCTCTTCAATATCCAAGCTCAACAATGGTGAAAACCTTACTTTCTCTCTCTAAACTAATCTAATTCTAACCTAAACCTAGAGAGAGAATGAAGCTCCCCTAAAAACTAATTAGAGAGTAGAATAAATGGTAATTGTTTTTCTCCCCCTTTTCTAATTACCCCAAAAATGGGTATATATATACTAAGCTAGGAAAAAATAGAAAAATAAAAGAAGGAAATAAATAAAGAAAGAAAAGGAATTAAAAAGAAATAAGAAAAGAGAAAGGAAAAAGGAAATAAAAATAAAAAGAAAAGAAAATAATAAAAACCCAAATCCCTCACAAAACAATAAGACTCCATTCCTTTTCTTCGATCTCTATGGCTGCTCTGATTTGTGATCATCATACCACCATCATTAACCATCATCATTGAATCACCACCATCTGATCATAATCAATGCTCCAAATCAATGGCTATCATCACCAATTGCATCATCATCATCATTATTAGACCGGTTGATCTTCATTAAAATCACGTGTGATGCTCGTGAAATGGTTCGATCAAACCTCGGGTAGGTTCGACCGAACTAAGGGGTTGGTTCGGTCGAACCATGGGTATGTTCGACCACACCTATTCAATTTAGACAACTTCAAAAGTTCCTGATTGTTTTAACACTTTTTTGCACTTCGATCGAACTCCTCAATGGTTTGCCCGAACCCGATCAATTTGTGATTTACTCTAAATTGGGGCTGTTGCTTGGGCGATTTGGGGTTGCAATTGGTGGCTGATTTGTTGCTGTAAATTGTTGACGCGGCTGTTGACGGGTTGTGATTGAGAATTGTGGTGCGGCTGGTGGTGGATACGGAGGTAAGGTGATGTGAGAGATGATTAAGGGCAGTAGGGGCTGCTCCTGTTGTTTGGCTTGCGATAGAGATTGATGTGGGCTGGTTTAGGTGGCTGAAGATTGAGTTACTGCTGTTGGTGGAGGTATGTGTGAAAGGTCGAGGGAGCAGGGGAGTTCTGAATTCTGATTGGTGGTGTTGGTGTTGGTTGATGCGGTTAATTGGTGGGCTGATTTGGTTGGTGGTTGCGTGGCTGGTGAGAGTGGTTGATGTGAGGGATGTTGCGGGGTGTTGGTTGCGTGGGAGCTGGAGTGGAATTGGTGGGTGATGGTGGAGGTTAGTGCAGTTAATTGGTGGGCTGATTTGGGGTTGACATCAGCTGGGAAGTGCTGCTATGGTTGGAGGTTGGTGGCGGCTGCTGTTATTGCTGGAGCAGGGGAGTTGTTAGGTGGGTGAAATTGGTGGGTGATGGTGGTGGTGCGGCTGCTGGTTTGTGGTGAAGGGTAAGGTGAAATGTGGGGTGAAGGTTAAGGGGCAACAATAGATTGGTGTGTGAGCATGTCTTGGGAATTCGCCTTGGACCTCGAACCCGAACACCTACACACAAAACCGAGAATAGAATTGGGACAAAAAATAAAATAAAATAAATAAAATAGAAAATAAAAGAAATAACACTAAACTAATAAAAATTAAATAAAACTATACAAGTAAATAAAATCAAATAAAATAACAAAATAAATTTAAAACTAATAAAAACTATGAAAGTAACAAAGAAAAAGAACGAAATAAAATAAATCGAATGCAAATAAAATACGAAAATAAACTAGAAACTAATTAAATAAAGAAATTAAATTAAAACATACTAAAACTAAGAAATAAACTAGAAACTTTATTAAAAAGAAAACAAGAGAATAAAAGGAAAAATAAACACGAAAATGACTCTAAAACTACTCCCTAAGAATAACATAAATGTCACTCATCACCTTACCAAGAGCAGCCTACAAATAAAACATGGAATAAGTGATACTAAACTATAGAAAGGGGAAAAAAAAAGTATACCAAATTGGGTTCCCCAGGTAACAATCATTACATTCAATGATTCAATTAACCGAACAAAAAGGCTATAATAGGGTTACCCAACTAATAATCATTACATTCAATGAATCAATTAACAGAACAAAAGGCCACACAAGATATTTCCCCATGTAAACTATGGAATTTATCCAACTTAACAGTAGTGAAAGGCCTTGCCTAATATTTCTCTATACAAATGGAAAACACTATAGACTACAGTAAATGCATCCTCTAGCAAGTAGCAACTATTATTTAGGAAATTAGTGCCTAAGCAAGAACATATTCTATCAGAGCAATACCTTGTACCGTAAAATTGAGAAGTATCTAATTAAGCACAGATCTTTGACACTTAATTTGCCATCTGTAATAAGGTCCAGATCACTAAGTGTCACAGATTTTTAAAATCTCTACTTGTAAAATGAAAGACGGTTGAAGCATACCCAATAATGGCACTAAACATATCCTTAAGCATACTTAATAATGGCACTAAAAACCAACATTCTACCTTTGCTTTATACCCACTAAAATTACTAGAAACCAGCAGATTCTGTCCCGATATATTCTCGAGATGGGTCTCTTGTGGCGCATGTTTTTGCTGCATCCGTTCTTGAACAGAGTTGTGCCCTAGCCTCGTAGATGTAGTCACAGCACCTAAATTCAAAATTGAACTAGCTAAGCCATTTTCTATTTAGTTAACAATAAATACTTGAAAAAAAAATGATATTGATGCAAACAAAGATACAGCAAGACAGAAAACATACTTAAAGATTTTGTCTCTATATAATTGACACCTTTTTTCTCATGAGGCATGCTTCTTTCTCTACCAACAGCCTTCACACAAAATAAATAAATACAATTATGACATAAAATGTATGTTTGATGGATTAATTGATTTTTGTTTAAGAAATTTATATTTACCCGAGGAGGATTGCGAGGTTGATAAGGGTGAAAGCTACCAGGCATACATGATTCAAGGCCGAATGACATGGCCTCTGAATTAATAATGCTGGGACTAGGAACAGTGGCTAAGGAAGGCTTTACTGAGGACGTACATTGGTTGGGAAGATTTAATGTAGTATTTGATGTTACTGGTATAGTATTAAGTTCAGTAGTCATGTTCATGTCATAGGAACCACTGGCATCGTCAAAATCAATCTCCATGTGAGAAAGCTGAGAAGGGTGCAAAATCCCTTGTCCTCCAGGCAGACACATTGGATGCAAACTCACTCCATTCCTCATTGATAGCTTCTAATATTTCATTACAACAAGATTTGTAGAAAGTGAGCACTAGTACTCTATAAGTGAATCAAAATCACTCCAAAACATTGCTTAAATTACTAATTTTGATAGAAAGAACACAAAAATATAATTTTGATAACCTACCTAAGATAATCTATTACAAACAAATAGCCTGCAAAGGAGCTTAATGGGAGTGTAGTATCTTGGTTACTCAAATATTGTTGTGTTATAAAAAATGCATTAATATATACACTTTGACTATGATCTCAAGCTTTAAATGATTTAAGTTATAAGAAGATAAAAAATAACCTATTTCCTAATCAGGCCTAGGTAATGATCTTTAAGAAGAGTTCAAAGTAAGTCTTTCCACACACCCAAGTAAAGAACCAACCAATAAAGGTTATCAGAGAACGAGAGAAAGAAAAAAAAAACAAGTCTTCAACAAGGGTATAAGCTGCATTCAATGAATTTTTTGAAACTATGTACAATGAATCAGTTGAATATCAGCACCCCCAGAATACAAGATGACGGCACATGGCCAGACCTCTAAGTCTCAATTCAGTTACTTGGAAATCGGGGTATGTTACAGGAGATGTTTATTTGATTTATAACCACCAAAATTGATGAATTTGTTTTCTTCCTGCCTGTTGCATTGGCAAATGGCAATTATTGCATAGTCATCCTACCAACGTACATGGATGACCCTAGCTTACTAGTATCCCTAACAAGCCAAGTTTGTTTTAGCGTCATTCTAGAGCACACCAAGTTATTAATATCTAATTTTAAATTTGCAGATATTTACATTGTTTTCAAGGTATACAACTTTTAGTCAAAACTAGCAATTTACCATCAATGGTTTAAGAATTTAATACTATTAATAAATTCATCTAATCAGGAAACAAAATGGCCATAATTAAAGTGACTAAGACCACATCGGTTACTAGAGGTTGCCATTCAAATAGAGATAGGGCATTAGAAAGGGGTAAATAAGCAGAATTTATGCTAAGTGATTTGCTTAATTAATGCAATGGTTTTTATTGGATTGAGGTGGAATAGATTGAGAATACAAAGTTCTTCAAAACTAAAATGACCGAAAACGTTGTCCACGGACTAATGGCAAATACACATTCGAGGTTGGATATTATATGAACACATGAACATAGGGCACTAATGAAAAGACGAGAGTGTTCGAAATCCATGGGTGCAAGAACGAGAGCAAGTATTATAATTATAAAATGCAGTAGGAATTAGGCAGTATAGATCAAATAATTAAAATGCAAGTGCAGTCAGTCCCGAAATCTAACAAATTAAGAAGAACATAATCAAAATTGGCAGAAAAAGCATATAATAATGAGAAATTGACAAAACCCAAAACATTAGTTAAATTAGTTGCCTGGGTTATAGCGAAGCAAATGAAAATTAGGCAAAATTAAAAGGGGAAATTAAGCTAAACTAAACAATTAATGAAAAAACCTTTACCTTAGGCTGAAAAAATTTAGAAAATCCAAACAAACAAGCCATATAACAAACAAACGACCCTTTTTTTTTAAAAAAAAAAAGGAAAATTTGAAGAAAAACAAATTTGGAAATTGAAAGCACGATTATGAAATGAAAAACATTTAAGTGTCTAATTAATTGCAGAAAATTACCTGATGCGCCGTGAATGAATTCTTCGAAGTATCGGTATGGCAATGCTTATTCTGTTTCAATTCAAAACCGTAAAAGGCCAAAGAATTTTCGATTTCAACTAGAGATTAAAGAAAATTCATGAGAAATTCGAACATTATACTATGCCCTATATGAAATTCGAACCAGATATTAAGGAAAAGCAAGAAAGTTTACGTCTATTAATCGATGAAATTGATAAGTTGAAGAAGAAAATTCCCACAATTTCAAGAACGAATTTAAACCGAGTGATGAATTAATCGGAAATTATTTTAGATTTTGGAATGAATTTGAGTGGAAAACAGATAGGTGGATAAGGCGTAGCAAGTTAGCAAATCTGATGATCTAACCTAGGCGGTTTAACTCTAGGGGCACGTGCGGGTCATGTGACTTTGTCGACGCTTTATAGTGTCCATAGATTACTTCGACTCGGAAAAGCGTCGACAATAAGAGGAATATAGATTCGTACATTGACGCTAGTACCACATCGTCAAGGTAAAAGCGTCCATAAAATACGGAAATTGAAGTAGTGTAATTATGATTGTTATTATTGTTATTGTTGCTTGATATGAATTATTATTGATATTGCTAATATGATTATAATTCAAGTGATCACCAATAATAGATTTGTTTGTGCAATAATATTCAACCAACATAGATAAACAGGTTTAGGGTTAACCAATTGGTTGCATGTTAGTCAGAAAGCGCACATGAATACGAGAAGAATAAAGTAGAGGTCTATTATTAGACATGTTCAATCTCTTTTAGGTTGGATTTGTACTTTCATCCCCGAACTTCCAATCATGGTTCCAGACCTATTGGATTTAACGATCTCCTGGATTGTTAAGGGTTTAACCTTCACACTGTGAACAGTTTACAAGTTCCTAAAACTTGTTGGCGACTCTTTTACTCTAGCTTCCTTTCCTTTGCAAGCCACCATGCTTAAGTGTATGATCACAGTGGGGCTCAAGTGTGGGATGGCTTGAAATATTCCCTACACATGGATATAAAAAAAAAAAATGAGAAGATTTTGCACAATGAATAAAAAAGAGAGAAAGAATAAAGAGTTGTTGAATGATGATGAAAATTTAAAAATGTTTGGCAACGTACTTCAAGTTTGTGGCAATGTAATTTAAAATTAGTAGATGGTTGATTTTGGAAAAGAGGTTTGATTACCCTTTGTTTTACGATTAGGCTAAGCACCAATTTCCATATTACCCACTAGCCAACGTTACAACCCTCTTAATGCTCTTTTGACTTAGGGTAGTTGAGTCACTAGTCGGTGGAGGGAGATATATTTCAAGCATATGGAGAGAGCATGAATTGGTAAGATGTCAGGTTTCCCTACTTTGCAATGTTTTATCTTTGTTCCGGCTCCTTCGTTGAGTCATGAGATTCTACCTCCAAGGGTGGATTTGAATCTAGATGAGGGAACGCGATAAGATTGTATGGAATGCGGGGGGATTGGTGCATGTTAGAGTTTTCTATGCTTGGCATGATTTATCCTTCAATCGACCATTGGCATCCCCTTGCGTGCTTACTTTCACTACTTAGAAATTTTGACATCCACTTATGCTTGTTGTCTATAAAAGCTTGATTTGATTATGATTTGCATGTCCTTGATGATTCGTATTCTTGTTTTCTCCTCTTGGTTTGTCTTGGACGCAATTTTGTAAGATTTGTGGGGAAAGATCTTTGGAAACCCTCACGACCTTGAAGGTTAAATGGCTTGTTGCTTACGCTAAAAGCAAATTCGATTTAACTTTGTTGGCTTTGGCTTCTTCTAGACTTCTTTGCTTGAGGACAGGCAAGAGGCAAGTGTGGGGGAAGTTTATAAGTGACATTTATGCCACGATTAAGAGCTCATTCTAATGGGTTTTCCCCGTACTTGTAGCTAATTTGTACCCCTTTTCTTACCTTTAGTTCTCCTTTCTTTTGTCCGTCTTCTTCCCTAGTTTTTACCTCCTTTGTGTATTTTCTATTTTGGTTTTCTTGTTTGTGTTTTGTAAGAACCATGGTGTTGAAAGAAGAAGACCTTAGGCCAAGAAGATAGTGCTGCGCGCCAGCTAGAGAGAGCGTGCATGGACACTGCGCGGGCGCGCAGCCCTGTGAGAAGGCGTGCAACCCTATGAGAAGGCAAAAAAAGGAAGAATTTAAGGGGCTAAGCAGAATGTTTTGTGTGACCACTAAGAGACCATTACGCGGGCGCGCATCCAACACAGCACCGGCGCGCAGCCCTGCTAGAACCTGCGCCGCCGAAGTTTGAGGAGCAGAACAAAACCAGAGAGTTTTGCACGCATGCTGCGCGACCATTGCGAGAGCGCACAAAATTGTGTGCGACCGCATATTTCAAGGCTTCACTTCTGTACCCACGAAGTTGCGGGTGCACAACAATTAGAGAGGACGCGCATTGTTCGTGTGCGGACACACATAGTTAGGTTCCCGCTTTTTACTTTGCCTTGTTACTTCAATTTCTTCCGTTTTAGAGGCACCCATATATATAGTCTGTACTCTCCTTTGGGATGTAATTATATTATCTTAGATTAATTTTATGATTTTTTTAGCTTAAGCTAGAGGGATAAACACCATTAGTTTTGGCATTTTAGAGAGAGAAAGTGTGGGTTACTCCATTGTTAAGCTTGGATTTTGAAGAAGAAGCTTATTCAACCTCTTTATAGAACTTCAAATTCAATGAATGAGCATTTCGTTACTCTTTTCTCTTTTCTCTTTACTTTGCTATTTTATTTTGTTTTAAATTGCTTTTGTTTTGTTAATTACTCATTAATCATGCTTTTGCTTGTTAATATCATGATTGATTTGATGATTGCCATGGATAGTGAGAAGTTACTTAGCTAAGGGTTTGGGGATGATGTAGTTGGAATTTGTTCCTGTTTATAGTGTTGGAATTCAATTTGATTATGATTAAAGTCTTTACATGCTTGATTGTTCTTTGATATTCTTGCAAAGTGCACGTTGTTAATTGATTAAAGGTGAATCTTTGCTACATGAAACGGAAGTTGACTTAGCTAAGTTCATTTGCATCGATTGTTAATCCATTGCACCTCCCAATATATGGATCTAAAGTGTAAGCATAGAGGCTATGTTAGGAGAAGCCAATTAACCCCAGAAGGTGGCTAGATTGGACTCTTTATATCGATATTCATGCATGTTAAGATCATTATCGATTTGTTTCTATGTTATTGCATGTTCAAGTGAAGCCTACATCTACTCATTCCCCTTGGTGTTTTCTTTATATTGTCTTTAATTAAATTTTCTCATAGTTTAATCTCTTAGATAATTCCATTCTTTGTCTTGAGATAGCTTAATTCATTAGTAGTGATCACTGTGTTTAGCTTCTCCGTGTGGTTCGACCCTTTGCTTATCTTATACTTGTATTAGGTTCGTTTAGGTTATAAAAATCTTATTTAAACTAGGGGTACACTTTTGACGACGTGTTACTATTCCCTTGTCAACGACCTGCTATTAAGATAGAGCTTATGTTCCTAAGTTCATACGGCTAGCAATATGGTCGAGCTTCTTGGCCGAGTGAAACAGGAAAACTTGCCATCTGAAGCATACATGGTCGGCCATCACAAGGTGTCCGAGTTTCCCTTGAGTAAGGAACTATCTTCTCCCTTTAAGGCAGACACATGCCTTCGAGCGGTCAACATGCTTTGTTTTTTTTAGCCATCCGAGTTCGTTTAAGGCTCAAAAAGGCATTTAAACATTTTTCGAGCCAAATACAATAAGAAAATTTAATGTAATGAATAAGTGTCAAGGCCGATGGTATTACCATGATGCGAAATCATTATTATGATTCTGAATATTAATTAAAAAAAATAAAACAAACCCGTCCGAGCTTGCCGTGGCAAGGTGTCTGAGTTGCTATTGAGCAAACGACCTCCAAACGAATTTCAGGTGGATAAGTACTAGGTCGATTATGGCTAGGTGTCCGACCTGCTATTGAGAAAAGGACATCCTAATGACTTTCAGGCATACAGGTAGTTAGTCGGCCATGGCTGAGTGTTCAATCTACTACTTGGCAAAGGACCACCCTCTCATATCTAGGCGGATGTTGTCTTATTAAGCTAGGTGGAATAGCTGCTATTGAGCAAAGGAACCTCCTTCAAGTTTCTAGGTGGCCTTTGCAAAATAAGTTAATCAGCACAAACAATTCAACACTAATGTAGAATGACTAGTTACTAGTTCCCTCACCAAATGTGGATATAAAGCTGAGCAGGCCATAAAATGAAGCTAGCTAGATTTGATAAAATAGGTGACATGAATTATATTGCCAAGCATATGGCACAATCATTGCTAAGTGGGCAACATCTAAGGCCGACCAAGTTGCAGGCAGCCGATTGTTAAAGAATCCTTATGACTTTTAGATAAACGTTGCATGTCATCTCTTGAATATGGTGTGCTAGATAACTTTAAGCCAAGAGCAGAGATACTATGGACGACCCTTTTCAAAAGACTAAGCTGCTGGTAGCAAACCATGTTGTAGACATCCAATTGTTGAAGAATGGGTAGGGTCTAAGCGGCACACATGCCGAGCTGCCAAATTAAGAGTACTACAGCTTGTACAAAGGGCAAGGGGCAGGAAAATAGTTGTTCAGACTTAGTGTGCTCAAGCCGAATGGCATCAGTACTAAGTATTTAGCAACATCAATGGCAAGGCTTTAAAAAATACTAAGCGGCTGGCATTAGTACTAAGTATTTAGCAACATCAATGGCAAGGATTTAAAAAATACTAAGTGGCTGGCATTAGTACTAAGTATTTAGCAACATCAATGGCAACATCAAATGGCATCATCACTAAGTATTTAGCTACTAATGGACGACCCTTTTTAAAAGACTAAGCGGCTGGAAACCAACCAAGTTGTAGGTAGCTAATTGTTTAAGAATGGGCAAGGGCTAAGCGACACTCATGCCGAGCTGCCAAATGTAGTATCCTACGCCTTGTACAAAGGGAAAAGGGTAGCAAAAGAGTCGTTATGACTTAATATGCTCTAGCGGAATGGCATCAGTAATAAGTATTTAGCAACATCAATGGCAAGGCTTTAAGGCCCTAGCCAAATCATGCAATCAGTCGGATGAAGGCATGCAATATTTGAAGATTAGGCCTTTTAAGAGTCGATCAACAACAAAATGAAACCGAGAACTCTAAAAACAATCAAACGACCATGAAGCCAACCAAGCACATAGTCCTAATAGGGGCTAGTACACAAAAGATATCAAAGCTTAGTGCACAACAAAGAAACTAGTCGAGCTAGTCGGCCCATGCATGAGCCAAAAGGCCTAGCTTGAGCAAATAATAATCCTCCTTTCAGAAGACAAGTTTGAAGAGTCAA